AATCTTGCCTGAGGATCAAAGTGCAAAGCTAGCCACACCAGTTAGCCACAGAGGCGAGGCAGTGGTGGCACCTACCTTTAATCCCAGCACTTGGGAGACAGAGGCAGCTGTTCTCTGTGAGTTCAAGGCCACCTTGGGCTACACAAGATTGAATCTGTCTAAAGGAGAAACAGAGCTCACACAAAGGTGATCCTAGGACTTGGGATCACACACCTTTAATCCCAGAAGTAGGGAGATAGAGTGATATCACTGGGCAGAGAGAGGCTTATAGGGCAGGAGGAGACTCTCAGACAGTCAATGCAGTCAACCTGAGCATTCGGCCTGAGATTTGTGGAGACAGGATCACCTCTTCAGTCTGAGGATTCAGTAAAGGTAAAAAATCTCTCTAGTGACTGGTTGCAGGGCTGCAGGTGTATTCCTTCCTCTACCTCCTGTGTACTAAGGTAACAGGCCTACATAACTACATCAACTTGAAGGTAATTTTCAAACTAGAACTTTGTTGGGTTGTTGAGGTATCAACAGTTTTTTGTTTTTGTTTTCAAAGGAAAATAAAATTGGGATTTTTAATGAACTGTGAACTCTACCTGAAAGATTAAAAAGCTACAAAAGAGGCAGTGTTAAGTAGTGTGAGTTAATTTCGGGGAAACTTGTTCAGGATATATCCTAGTGATACCATCTTTCTTCTCTGCTGTGATTAGTCAGGAAATAATCTTTATTAGCTTTTCTTTTGATCACCTTTTGAGGAAATACTCCAAAGTCAGTTGTCATCTGATCATAATATCCATGAAAACTGCCATCAAGTTTGATTACAGTAAATAGAAGTCAATTCAGCGTAAGAAAGAATACAATCCCTTTGTTTTTTTCCTCAGGTTACTTGCTAGATTTCAGGGCTCAGAATTAGATTATGGCTACACTTGTTTGTAACCATTTTCTAAAGCATGGCCATAGCTTGCTTAGTGCCCAGAAATGGACCCACATTCATTAATGCAATCATGGCTGAATTTTGTAGAAGTGATGCATTGTATTGTCTAGAATATGACCTCTAGTAATTAAATAACATAACTCCATTCTGGCTGTGGGAATCTCCTGCCAAGTCTAAGCACTGTCAAGCTAAAAGAAGACGTGAAGTTAACCCAATCAATCCCGATTCAGACAGGAGAGGGATGAGAAATAGAGCCAGATAACAAATGGGAAGAATCGCAAATGACAGAGAGGCCAATCATTTTTTCTGTCTCCTGGTTTAATTTTTGAACTGAGATTATATGTGGGCAGCTAAGGTGGCTGAAAGAGGAGTAATAAAAATGCCTTGAACCCTGCTGCAATGTCATGTTCTACATTATTTTCCCACCGTTTTGTGGGGGAGGACAAAATTTTCACTATGAATTGTCAGAAAATACAGTAGTGCTAGCTGTATAAAGTATACGATAAAGTTCATTCCAAATTACATTTCCATCCACCCCAGGGAACTTCAGGAAGAACTTTCTTTTAGGAGATGAGAGAGGGGAGGCCTTCAGCCCTTAACAGTGATTTTCTGACTGTGGAGTAGCATTAGTCATGCTTCCTCCCCATGTCCATAAATGGAGGAGAAGCCTACTGATGCTATCAGATGCATGTAAAAGGTCTGCTCTAGGGAAGTCCTGAGAGCCAGACTGACTGCATAGCCAGCAGCAGATGCATGCTTTCTTTGATTTCTATCTGCATGCACACTGCTTACAGCTGTGAGGGTCAATCTGCCATTCCAAAGGGGGTAAAAAGTCCCTGTGAGGAAAAGTTGAGATCCAAACAGTCTGTGTTAGGGAGAAAGTTTGAGGTGGGAATGTAGCTGTAGCTAGTGGTTGAGTGTAGTAGGGCTTAGCATGTGCAAGACCCAGGGTTAGGTCTCTGGCACAAAGAAGCATATTAATGAAATGCATTAATCTTCTGTAGACAGAGCTGCTGTATATCCACTTATTTCCTATTCAGTCACCTTTCAAATATCCAGGCCCCTACATGATGGGTCAGGCATTGTGTTTGATGGGCAACCCTTATGGAGTTCAAATCATTTTCGAAGACTTCAATAATTCCCTCACACCAACTCCAATTTTTAAGTGCTGTTTAGGTTCATGAAAAGACAATCCGCTGGACTTCTTTCCTTAGTGAACTCTTATACCACAGGAAGTCAGTATGATTCGGGAGGAGGGACAAAGGGCAAGAGCTGGAAATCTTGGGTTTGAGTAAACTTCTATTGCAAAGGCACTTCTCGATGACAATGGACAAGTTACTTAATCTCTCTGGCTCTCACAGTCCTCCTCTTAAAAATGAGTGAGCAGCTTAAGATTCTCCTCATCTTTAAAATTCTTTTATTTTATATAGTAACACAATCCACGAAGTTTCCCCTGTGACCAGAAGTTTTTAGCTTGTTTCCTTTTTGCCTTCTTTCAATGTTAGACCAAATATGAACAAGAAGTAATATTTTGACAGAGCTAACAAAACTGCCCCTCCACAAAATGACCTTTGGAGGTCAGGTCAGCCAATGCAAGATCTAAATCCAAAGGCAATGGTGTGACCAACTGTGAGCGGGCAGACTGCCATTCAAAAGGATGGAAATGGGTGTAGGCAGCCAACATTCTTGGCTGGTACATTTTTAATAAACACAGAAAACAAAAATAGCATTTTCCTCTTGGATCACTTAATTTGGTACCCATGCCACCAGGACATTTGCTGTTAGGATAAAGATGATGATGAAGATATACAATTTATTTAGACCAGGATGGATTAACTTTTACAAATGAGTAGCAGGTTATGGCATCACTTGTGAGGAATTTTTATTGGTGTTTCTTGTCTCTGACAAGAGATTGTTTGAGTCATTACAGCAATATCTCTCCACCTCTTTGCCTATGTTGACTTCTATCTGAAACAAGCTCTGTTGCATTTACTGTATTGGTATGAATGGACTAAAGAAAGCTGGTGTGACTTGTGGTTGAATGTGTGTCCTAATTTTCCCCCCAAGATGATTCAATATACATTAATACCACCCTTTTTTTTTTTTTAAAAAAAAAAGTCAAGAATAAAGGCTTTCATAGCAAATGTTCTTTATTTGTTGAATACTTGAGGTGCATGCATTTTAAAGTACAGTAATTTATTCAAATACGATGCATCTCATAGTTGAGATGTTTCTAATCACGCCATCATGGCTACTGTACTAATAATGCATAGGATTGCTTGATATGTGTATTTTTCTGCCTCTTCTTGTCATATGGCAACAAGGACATTTGACTGACAAGGCTGTTTTCTCTTCAGTCCTTGGAGATCCTTGAATAAAATGCTCTGTGATGGCAAGCTGTAATTAGCTATGTGGGTGGAAATTAGTGTTCTTCAAGCACACCATGTTTAGGGCAGAGGCACCGTGCTTTTTACTACCCGAGGCCACCCTGGTCCTGTGCCACAGCTGTAGGTCACTGCTTCTTGCAGGACTTCCTTCCAAACAGCACATTGTCTTTGTTGAGCTCTGAAACCAGGAGGCTTTTCATAGTTAAAAACAGGTTATGCTGTTCTCCAGACGAGTCAGGCATTGACCAAGGGATGACTATAATGTGTTCGCTTTTCATTTGAAAGTGCACATTTCCCAGCATTCATAACTATCTTTTGAATCATTGCCCGTTTCATAAGAACATCAAACTTTTGAATGGATTCCTGCAGCACTGGTAGGTCCTCCATTTTGGATGCAATAGGAATCCCGTAGCAGTAAAACCTTTTTCTTCTAACGCAGTCATCTTGAATACCGCACACACAGGCGGGCTATTTGTCAGGTTTAAGTTTTGATTAGATCATTGGATTTTTTTTTTAATATTAACACCCGCACCCCCTTTTGCAAATCCGGGCTTCTCAGTCTCCCCCTGTACCATGTGACTATAATACATTCGCCGCGTTAGTATTTTTCCATCTACCTTTTCAAGGAGGTGAGCTCCAGGCTAGGTGAAAGACAGAACATTTAAAATTATCCTCAGTTCCCATCCCTCCCCGCCCCCGGCCGGGATTCCCTTTCAGCTGGTGACGACAGAAAGGGTTCCACGGGCTGCGTGTCTCGCGGCTGCACGGGGTTCCGCGTGCCTCGGGCTACCGCGTTTCCCGGCGCCGGTGCGTTAGTTAGCTCCGCGAGTGTGTGCGGTCACCCGCGTGCCGTGCGCGCGTCGGCCGGGTTCCCGGGTCCCCAGGTCCCGCACGCTCGGGGGTCCTGGGGGACCCGGCGGGGGGGGCGACGATGACCACGCTTTGCGTGTTCGGGACTCCCTTCCACCCCGCCCCTCATCGGGGGAAGGAGGGGGAGTCGCGCCGCAGCGGGGGCGCGCAGAGACGACTGCGGGATGCCTGCCCGCGCGCCCGAGTCCCCTCCGCGATCGCGCCCGGCTGGCTAGTCACGCCCCCCCGCGGTCCGCTGCTCGCCTCGGCCTCTGGGCAGCGGAGGGCCGCGGAAAGAGAGCGAGGTCAAGGGCAGAGCGGGCGCCGAGCCCCCCTCCGGCCGCGGGGGGCGCGGAGCGGGGTGGGCGGCAACAAAGGGCGGCCGCCCCAGCCGCCGCCGCCGCCCCTGCCGCCGCCCCCTCGCGCGCACTGCCCCTCGCCCCGGGAGGGAGGGGGAGGGGAGCGGGCGACGCGGGAGCGGCGGGGGCGGCGGGAGGAGGGCGGCGCCTGCGTGCTCCTCCGCCGCCCCGCCCCCGGCGCCCCGCGGCGAGCCCGGCTCTCCTCCCGCGGCTGCAGCAGCTGCCGGTTCCTCGCGGCCTCGGCGGCGGTGGCGGCGGCGCGCTCGGAGCGGCCTGCGGAGCGGCGGACGGACGGACGGACGGACGGGCGCGCGGCCCCGGCGGCTCCCGTCTGAGGCGAAGGACGAGGCTCGGCGGCGAGGAGGCGGCGACGCAGGCGGAGGAGGCGGCGGCCGCCGGGGACCCCCGTCGGCGCCTCGGCCCCCGCGCCCCCTCCTCAGCCCGTGCTCGCTCGCGCTCGGCGGGCCGGCGCCTCGCCTCTGCGCGCGGAGATGGTGTAGCCCGGCCGCCGAAGCCGGAGCCGCCTCTGCTCGCGCGTCCCCGCGGCGTCCGCCTCCCCGCCCGAGGAGAGACCCTCTGCTCGGCGTCTCCCGCGCCGGGGAAGCCTCGGCGCCGCCGGCACCATGAGGTGAGGGGCGCGCGGGCCGCCGGCCATTGTGCCGCGGCGCCGCGAGCGCTCTGCGCGGACCCGCCTGCCCCTGGCCCGCGGCGCCGGCTCTTCCCCGCTCCCTTTTGTCCCTCCCGGCTTCTCCTCCCCCCGCCCCCTCCCCCTGCCCAGGCTCTAATTTGGGGGAGGGGGTCTCCCCCAGATGCTCTTCTTCCAGCCCGGGTTTTCCTTCCTCAATGTGGTGTGCCTGCTCCCTCGCTCCCTCCCTCCCCAGCCCCGGCTAGCGAAACCCAGGAGATGGGGAGGGGCTCGAGAATCGTAGCGTGCTTGTTGCCGAGAAACAGGTATTTTCCGTGTAGATGTAAAAATTCCCTGCACTTTTAGTACAAAGCTCTAGTGTTTAATTAAAAAAAAAAAGGGGGGGTGGGTGGGAAGGTGGGTGGGGGTGGGGGAGGAAAGTTTGGAAGGTCTGAGATCTCTGCGGAGAATAAAGTGCTTCTGATAGGGGTAAGCGGAGGAGCCGAGAAAGGTGAAATTTCCCAATGGTGGGGGAAGGGAGAGGATTTACTAGGTTTCCACTGGCGGGGGACAGTCAAGGCTGGGATAAGTTGTTTGAGGTTTGTAAGCCGGAGCGGGGGAGGGTTTTGTTTGGAAAGCCTTTCTCTCCGGTTCTGTAGCAGCAGCAGGCTGTGTTGCATTGCAGCAGGAGCAGCCGCCTTCCCCTTTCCTCTGTGATCAGTACAACACTTTTTTTTTTCAGCCCCCAAGGAAAGAATTGGATGTACCGTCGTGAAATGTTTTTTGATTAATACGATGAAACATATGGTGTGATATCTTTCTTTTTTGTTTTTTTGTTTCTCCAGTTGTGTAGGAGAATAAACCATAATGTGGTGTGTCATCCATTGGAGGGCCGCCCCCCCCCCCCCCCAGCCTTTCCTAAGCTTGTTTTGTGTCCATTACCTCCTGGTTTTGGATTGGTGCAAGACTTAGTGAGAAACGGGACCTGGTAGACTGAAGGCTGATCCATTTTGCGTTATCATCCTTAAAGGACATCTTTTAGGTTAAACAATTGTGGGTGAAGTAAATGACTCCATTTCTTTCTCCCGAGACAGTCTTTCAGCTCCTTTGGATTAGAATGTCCTTTGTGTTAAAGATTAATGGCCAACAGTTGCCAAGACCTTTATAATGTAAGGCAGTGAGATTTGAATGATACAATTACAAATTTCTTCTCTTTGGCATGAAAATGTTATGTCACTGGAATTCCCCCCCCCCCCCATTTTAAGTTCCGTTTTAAACTTTAGTTTTTATTAACTCCCCCCCCCCCCCCCCCGCCCCCAATCAGGGTTGAACACAGACCCGTTTCACTTTTTTTGTGTGTTGTGTTCACTTAAGCTTACTATGAATTTTTCCGATTCCAAGTGTCAGATCTTTATTTATGTTAGTCTTAGATTTTTGATTAATGCTTACTGACCCTTTTTTCCTTAGTGACTTCACACAAGCTATTTCAAATGTTTAAAAAGTGATTATGACCTTCAAACCAGAAATCAAGATTTATCTTTATAAAATGCAGGGTGAAAAACTTCAGTTATATTTTTGTGCATTTTTCTCAAGTTTCTAGTGGCCTTGAAAATTCAGGAACTGTTAACAAAATACACGACAGTTCTGTCATGTAATGTTATGTACTGTTGATTGCTACTTCAATGACTTAATGATACAGAGGTCTTATAGAACAAGTTAGTAATTTTTTCAGACTTGGAATACTTTTCTTAGCATTAAAAGTTTAAAATAAGGCATTTTAACATTCGATCAAAGTTGTCTGAAAGGTTATGTACAGGTATGTTAAAGTTTGAAGTATTTTGTAAAACTTAAATACCATATATTGTCTGTCTCTGGTAGATTATATCTGGACTTACAAGTTCTAGTTTCCAGTAAAATGTTAACATTTTTAAGCTGTTTTCTTCCTGTGTTTCTTACTAGTTACAGAGGTAGAGAACTCACCCTTCCAGTAGCATAAACAGGGAACATCCTCCCAGGTCTAAGGAGTTTGAGCTGTCTACAGTAAGTCTTTGTAGGCTGAATTTGCATAATTTAAGAGCAGAAAAGAGGATCAGCTAGTTTTCACTTTGAAAGGCTTGTTTGGCTTGTGTGTGACCAGTTACTTGGATAGCTCTGAGGGTGGGATGCCTTGGTGTGAGGTAAAGACTCCAGTGTTGGAAACAGCTGTGGGGATATTTTAGTGCTTAAGAAAGGACTTTGGCTAGTCTTTGTTTAATCTCAGATGCTGTAGGAACTAAATGTTAACCTTTTAATGGATTTTTAAAAAAGTTATATGAAGGATAGTTTTGGTGTTCAAAGACCATCCAGAAATAGGAAGGAATATGGAGTAGGAATTTTCTATTTAAGTTGATCGGAACTCTGAAGGAAATAAGTTTCTTATAGTGTTATTTGTGGCAAGATCTCTCTGATATTTTAATTTTAGGAGCAGCATGTTATTGTCACATAGTGTAACCTTATACAGAAGCGAGCTAAATACTTTACATTCCTGAAAGTCATAAGTCACACTCCACATTTAAATGCTGTATATAGATTTATTAAATTTTGATTAGAGGTGGGCAGTAAAAAAATGATTTAGTATTTGCACAGGACAGTGGAAGGAATTGAGGGATAAAGAGCCACAAACCCCAAAATACCAAGCTTGTACATATAGTAGCCTGTTGAATTTTTGGTTCTGTTTTTTCATTTGTGTAATGTTTCAAAAGTATAAGATTTTTTTTTTTTTTCAGTTGAGAAGTACATGTTTGGGATTTATCTTTTAAACACGGTTGATCACTCAAAAATTTTCCTTTTTTTTTCTTTTCTTTTTTTTTTTTTTTCAGAAAAAAGAGCCTGTTAAGAGTTAACATACTTAAATCCTTATCGTCTGATCTCTAGGAAGAGTTCAGAAAGTTTTGGATTGACCTTTACGTGTCATATTGTATGGCCCAGGCTACTGTAACAGTAGATACTCAGACTTTCTCTTGTAAAAAAACATAATGGGGTTGTGAGGATTTGACCAAAGCTACTTACTGGGTGACCTTGAGCTAAAACATATACCCTGACTGGCTGGCACACACACACACACACACACACACACACACATCCACTTACATATCACTTATACAAATCAGTGGTAAATATCAGCATGTATGTATGTAGTTGCACGTAGTTTATTTGTTTGCTTTTTGAGACAGGATCTTGGGTATTCTGTGCTGGCCTCAGACTCAAATGTGTAACTGAGGGATGATAACTTTAGTTCTGATTTTCCCATGTGATGACATGCACAGCTTTATGCTGTGTATGGAATTATGTCCAGAGCTTGCTACAAGCTAGACAAGCATTTTAAGATGTGTACTGTGTGAGCTTCCCTTGTTTTGAGGTTAAAAATCTTACTTTTAGACTAGTTGCACAAAAATTTGCTTCACCATTTGCCTTATTTAAGGATGTCAGGAGGTTACATTTTGCTAATGTGGTCCAGTAGGTAGTGGCTAAAATGCAGATAAGGGCATTGATGCATCTCTGGGATTGGTGAGGAAGAATGCCATGTATTCATTAGTAATATTTGCTTGAGATATGGGTCCAGAGGGTGGTTACAGGAATGCTACTTATCAAACTGTTTAATGCCCCGCTGTATTGGTTAGGTGAGGGAACTTTTTTCCAGCTTTCTTCTTGTGGGTATGTTTGGTCTTCGAAACTTTTTGTGGTTATGTTACCTTAATTCACTGTAATGATTAATATACATTTGTGAAAAGTACAATCAAGGTACAGAAAATTCAGGTTGTCTGAACTGTCTTGTTAATTGAGCCTCTTGGTAAAAAGATAGTCCTATTATTTTACAGGATTGTAGTTTCAAGTTATATATCCATGGAAGGATGAAAATAGTCTCCCCAGCCATAGGTCTTCTTAATGCCTGCAGCTGTTGAGTATGTGTCTCTTCCACAGATACTTATTTTAGAAATAGGAGCCACATCCTATTTTTGAATGTTAATATTATAGGTATTAAGTGAATAAACATTGAATATAAATGTAGATAAGTAGATACAATTTACTTAACTTTACATAGTATTCAGGTTTTTGGGTATCTTACTAATCTATTTGGAATAAGCAAAATAACTAGGCAGGTACATTTTGGACAGTAAAGAGGAAAATACATTGTTTTCATATTTTACCCTACATACAACTTCAGATCAGTGATTATTGTATAACTTTCAAAATATCCAGTCTTTATTGTGAGAGTAAGGAAGTGTTTGGAAAAAGGAGTGTCGATTTTATGTGGTTGTGGGCTAGTAGATAGATACTTAAACCCTGTTTCCTTTCTCCCCCCTCTATACCATCTTTGAAATTAATGGGTAGAATTTAGGGGAAGTAAAACTTAATGATCTGAGTTGAGGTACCACAGGAGATGCCTCTCCAAATATAAGTTTGAGAATTTTGCTTTATGGAAAAACACGAAGAGCCAAGAGTCTTCCCTGTGATAGATACCTTTGAGAAGTAATTTTTTTTTCTTCTTTTTTGCCTCTAAAGGATCTAATACTCTACTTCCAAGTCATGGTTCTATATTTTCATATCTGTGTTACCAGTAAAATACTTGGCAAATACTGTCTATATCTGAATGTGTTTGACTGGCATTCCTTTAGAATCTTCTGTTCTAACAGTAATAGTCACAGTTTTGGAGTGCTTGTAACATTCTAGAATTGTACTGGGTACAGCTCTGGTAGGATGTGGTATAGTATTTGCAGACATAAGTACTAGTATTACTTAAACAAAAACCAGCATCACTACTACAAGATGGATGTAGAATTTGTTTCTTACTCATTACCAAAGCTCAGAAGTAGCCAGAGCCTCCGATTCAGGTTTGTCTACCCACAGAGCCCTTTGAACCGTATTTCTGTTAACAGAAGAATAGCCTGCTTTTTAGTGTCTGATCAGAGACTTGAGCAGATTTAGCTTGTGTCCACAGCACTAATTGCTTTTATCCTTTTTGG